TATTTCTCTAGGTGAAAATACTTTTGTATCCTCAGGAAGCTTTTCTTTATTATAAGATATAGGATCCTGAACAATTTTTTAGGCTAATTTTAGATAGCTGATTGATGATCGATTGATATTTCTGATTGACTCATATTGTATCAATCGGAATTAATGCAAATCAGCCCTAAATTGGTCATCAATCATTCATCAATTGTTTGTCTGATTTTTAGTTGATTTGTATCCATTTCGACCAATGAGTAGGTTATGAATTTATTAATTTTAATTTAATTTTATAGCACAAATCAATTCTGTATTATCATTGATCCCAATAAACTTCTAGAATATCAATTATTTATATATTTAGAAATTCCATATATGAAAAAACACCAGACTGTAATAACTTCCATTCTATTACTGATTTTTGTTCTTTTTATGATATCATATGTAACCTTTAAGTTATACAAGCTCTTATATAGTTCAGTTTGTCATTCCTAATCATTATACTCTTTGTATAACCTTTTTGCATTTTCATATTACTTCTTCAATTATTATTTTTAAATATTTTCTAAGTCTTTCTATAAGACTCTCTATTCAGTTGATTAATTATGCTTCTTCTTAACCTTTCTTTTAATTCTTTAATTACCCATCTTCTTTCAGTAACTAATTTATCTGAATTATTTCTTTTTGTAATTTATCTATTTTATGTAATCTTTCTTTTAAGTCTAAGTATTATATTTTCTTTAATAAAATAAATATTCTTTCTATTATCTGCAATTTTACTTGTAATTTGTAATTTTGTAATTTTGTTAATCATTATTGTACTTATTACTATGCCTTAAATTATGAAATTGTTAACTTTACAATGTAATATGACATCATTTTGACTATTGTAACTTTCATTTTGACTTTGATCTTCAAAGTCAAAATATTTTAACTTTTGGGTTTTCATTTTAACTTCATATATAAATATAACAGAAAAATTTATATTAGTAAAATTTAGTATATTATTAAAGTACTATAATCTACTAATATTATAAAAATTTTTTACTTTGCATTCCTATTTACAAATATTTTTACTTACTAAATAAACTTTTATACATGCTTTAATATATCTTTTATCTGTATTTTGTAGATTAATTATTTAGAGTATCTAGTATACAGATATTTTAAGAAATTGTTTTTCTATTCTTATAAACTTAGCCTAAATTTTGATTACATTCTATTTATATATTTGCTAAAATTTTATTATATTAGTATAAAATTATTATCTATATAAGTTGATAGATTACCTTAAAAATTCTATATATTATGCTTAAAAATCTTTTTACTAATATAAATTAATATATATAAGCTATAAAAATTATTTTCATTTTATTACCTTCCTAATTGTATTAAATTTTTTTTATAAATTTTACTAATTTGATTTTTAATATTCTTAAATATAGTTAAAAGATCATTTTTGCAAATAATCCAAACCTTTAACATAAAATTACTTTTGTAAATCATTTATTAATTCTTTGCAGATCAATTTTTTAATGCTATTATAAGAATTATCTAACATTATCTCTTTAAGTTATAACTAAAAGTTAGATTTAATTAGAGACGTTAACAATCCTAAAATAGTCTTAAATAAATAAATTTGTCAGTTCTAGAAAAGATTTTTATTTTACTGACATTATATTTTACATTCTTATGATAAAAACTATGCGGAAATCTAGAATCTTAAATTTTTGAAACTTAGAACCTGATCCTAAAGGATTAAATATATTCACAATCATTTGGGATCGTTTATACCTTTTTATCAAAGAAAATTAAAATATTAAAATATTAAAAATATAATAATAAATGAAAATTTCCGATCATTACTGTTAATCAAAATTGTCCAATCATGTACATTCGATTGTAGACCCTGGTACGTAAGTAATTTAGTACCAAAAGTAATCGTGTGTGTAACATTGATCAATAGTATATATTTCTCTCAAATCTCTCGTTTTTTTTACGCGTTTACTAATTTCATTAACTAAAATATGCTGATTTTTAACGGAGCAAATCATTTATTGGTTTTATTGTTATTACCTATTGCATTTGACATAGGAGGAAAAACTGCCGGTTTGGCTTTATCATTTACATTATTTATATATTACAGTTTTTTAGGTTTAGCAAAAGTGCTGTGGTGGAGAGAACAGGGTTTGGGTTGGATATTTGTAAGTGCTATTAAGAACATTTCTTCCTAATCATCTTGAATAATAATTGATGTGTTTTAATCTCAATTTGTAGTTGCAACTTTTAACAATATCACAACCCTTCTTGTTTCCTTATTTTCTTATCCTTTCATTTCAATTTACATATACGTTGATCGGAGAAAAACAAATACCAACTATTTTTAATTATTATGAAGTTTTTTTGACATATTTAGCGCCATTATTCACAATCATTGAAGGAGCTTCTACAGCAATAGTTATTATTATATGTAGGTGCAAAGTTAAACAACTTTTGGAGCAAGATGAAGGAATACAAGTATGTTAGTTCTTAAACCGATTTGAAATGTACTTTAACGATTTCAAATTTAATATACCATTTTTTTATAATTTTTCATAGGTGTTTATTCCTATAATATCGGTAATCAATTACGTTGCATCAAGTTATGTTCTTTATAGCATATATACGACACCAGGAATGGATATATATAACGCGACATTGATTGGAGCTTTTATGGCACTATCCCTTGTGATCACAATTTCGTTGGCTTTAAATAGAATAGATGATTCTAGCTTTTGGCCAGATTTATCTCTTTTGGTAAATTATTTTTATTTTTATTTTTTTTTGGTTAAATATACTAATCTTTATTTACTTTAGTTTATATATAATGTATATTGTATATATATGTTGTCGCTCGATTGGAAACCTAATGTATCGGTGCAAGATCATCAGATATTGATTGATAAAGATAAAATTCCTCTTCAAATCTTTCAGAACTTTGATACAAAGACCATAGATTTTCTTAAGGAGTAATTTTATTATGAAATGATTTTTTTTAAAAAAAATTACTTGGGACATGAAACTGATTTAATTTAATTATACTGTTGTAGTTTTAGCATGAATATAAATACACGTTTTGTTGTGAAGCATTTGATGGATATATTGGGAAAGGTTCGATCAATAGCAGCAATTCAGAAAGCTTTATCTTTAAATTTTTTCATAGGAATCGTATATCGCTCAGGCGTAATATTGAGTGCATTTTATTTCTTGAATACGCAAAATGAAGAAAATTATGAGTGGGGAGGACTTGCTGAAGAGAATTTGGTACATACATAATTTTTAAATTACATCTCGAAATTGCGTATTAGCTAATTTGAAATATTAATTTATTTAGAGTCAGAAAGTTCTGAATTTCATCATGTCACTAACTACACCAGGTATTATTGCCGTATATACACATCTGTTACTTTGTCATTACGATTATATAGATACTGGAACTGGAATGTGGAGATGGGCTAGTATTGCAGTGTGTTGGATATTATACATGCGGTATCTCTATGTTGAAAATGAATGATAATTCGTTATTATTCATAATGATTGATTTTTAAAAATTATTATTCCCAATTTGGTTGAGTGCAAAGTAAGTTTGTGTTCGTTCTAGAATTTTTGTGCTTGAGCTCTTGCTATAGAAACGATAAATCGAATATTTCAATGTATACAACAATAAAGAAAGAATTGCAAAATATATTTTTTAAAATTCTATAATTTATTTAAGCATTAATAGTTTCAACAAAAGTTTAATTTGTCAATATTATTCCACTTTAATATGATCCTCAAATTAATATCACCAAAAAAAAAAAAAAAAATGCCAAATGAATTGTACATATTTTATTTTTAAAATCAAATAATGCATCAAAAATCTTATAAAAAAGAGTGTTTAAATAGATTATGTTAATATTAACTAAGAAATAATTTGATTAAAACATTGAAAGAAATAAATATTTCTAAACTTACTAATTAAAAATTGTTCCTTAATTTTTTTTAATGGTGTTCCTTTTGCTTATGATGTTCTGTAATAAATTTAAATTTAAATTAATTATTTGAAATAAAAATAAAAAAAAAATATGATGTTACTCACTCAAATTGAAGTGATAATTAATGACATAACCGGTCAAACTAATCGCGAGGACAGCGTGCAAAATAGGAGCAGGTGAACTAGTAGCAATGTATCTTGCATAATATCGCCCTAAAGGTCCGCTTGATTGAATTTTTGGAGCTGGTCCTTTCGGTAATTTTGAATAAAAATCACTAAGTGCTGCTGTTGAACCTGAAGCTCCAGCTATTCCACTAACCGAAATTTTTGGTGGAACAAGAGATTTAATTGAACTCATGTTTTCTTTTAGAAGGTTGAATAAATTAGGAGAGTGATTTTGATTTCCGAAATCAATTATCGCAGTATCACTACAAAAAAATTTGTCGCCGGCCGACGTTACGGCATTAAGAAACTAACACTTTTTTGAACAACTATCACGTGACATACTCTGATTATCCGTTTTATATAAATCCGATATTGATTTTCTGGCAAATCATCCGCAAAAATGTGTCTTTCAACATATGAACATATGACTGTGTATTATTTACTACGGGATATTCAAAACGCTTTAATTTTTTTTTCGTTTAATTCTCTTTGAAGCAGTTTATGAATATGGAACCAACTTCAGACTTAGTAGTAGGTGCAAGATGTGATATACAAGGAAAATTTGGAACAATTCGTTTTGTTGGACCTACTACTTTTGATACAGGAAAATGGGTCGGTGTAGAGCTAGATGATCCTTTGGGTAAAAATAGCGGTTCGCAAGCTGGCAAACATTACTTTGATTGTAGACAAAACCATGGAGTTTTTGTCAGGCCTTCACAAATAAAAATTATTGATTTGATTAATTCGCCTCAAAGTCAAGTATATATCAATGTATGATTTTTTATGTGGAAACTTTACAAGATAAAGTGTATTTGCAGTAAGAAATCATGTTAATATCTTTAATGTTTATCATCAATAAAAAACAAAATTTCAATTATTACAACAGCAATATAACGTAGAGCATCCCCATAATCATGCAGATGGCTCTGATATTAAAGAAACAAAACAACCAATGTTAAAACATCCATTGGAATTCTTATTTGGAACGTGGTATGGAGAAGGAAATGGTAAATTTGAAGGTATTAGTGATTTCGTTTATAATGAGGAAATTACCATCAATCCTGATGAAGCTGATAGAGGTTGGCTATATTATAGGTAAGAAAATTAATTAATAAATGAATTATTTATATATTATTTACAAATAATTTTTTCATAATACGCGTAAATTTTTTAAAGGCAGAAAACGTGGAATCCTATGAAAAATAATTCAAACTTTCATAGCGAAATGGGATATATTAGAGTGCCTGGAATGGGTAATAAGGTCGAATTGGTTTTAGCTCAACCAACAGGTATTCTTTGGAATATTTAAAAATAGCGAATGATATTACAAGGATCCCCCCGAAAACTCAAAATTTTCTTTATTAAGGAATCGCTTCAATTGAAGAAGGTAGAATCGATGGTACAACAGTCACGATAAAGTCAACTGATATTTCAAGATCTACCACTGCCAAGGTATTTATATTGATTTAATTAACCATGAATTAATTTTTTACTAAACTAATTTATTTATTTTAGCCTCCTCATGTTGCGGAGTATAATCGGTAAAGCATTCATTTATCATAAATTTTAATATTTTTCTTGTATTGAAACAAATTTATTATATTTATAAAAAAAAACAAGGATTTGGACGGTAGATCCTACGAATGAGTCAATGACATGCGTATTTAATATGTCAACTCAGAGTAAAAAAATGGCACGACACCTTTACTCCACTTTAAGAAGAATAGGAAGAATTCACTAAAAATAAATAAGATTAATATTAAAACAAGAGATTTATTTGAACATTGAATAATAATACGAGTGAGATCTTAATAAACCACTAAATACATGGTGCTATAGGTTGCAGCTATAATTACATATATTTAATATTAATTCAAAAAAAGGATAAAGATATGGTAATAATAATGACAATTACAATTAAAAAATAACTATAAAGTAAAATTTTTTTGTAAAATTTTTAGTTAGTTAAATTTATAATGATTATTAGTTTATAATTCTTAATAAAAATTTTATTTCTTAAATGGTAAAGGTTTTCTCTAATTTAGTAATTAATGTTAAAATTAATTTTAAATTAATCATCAACTAGATCGAAATTTATCTTGCAAAACTTGTTTCCAGGTTCAATCCCCAATGCGCTCCATCAAAGCTAATATATCTATATTTCTTGGTTATAAACTTGCCCTTCAATCCATCATATACACACCTATTGTCAAATCTTGTATTTCAAGATATACAAGTTTCTTACAAGAGTAAAAGATAAACATTCCACATTTCGGGGAGTATTTTTTTCCTATCAACAAGATACACTGGACCACCTGATATGATTTTTTTTACCACAATTTGGCATTTTAACAGGCAACCAAATAGATGCAAAGGGTAAGTGTCTCAATATAAAATCTAGCACTCAATTAGGTGCAGGAGGCCAATACCCTCATTATAAAACTAGGTATCCAAATAGCTATGGAAGACTAACAACCACTAGGGTTCCTCAAAATCAAATCAAATCAAATATTTAAGCAATTTGAATTTGATTTGATTTTTTCAAATCAAATCAAATCGAATCGAATTGAATTCAAATATTTGATCAAATCAATTTGAATCAATTTAAATTTGATTGAATCAAATCAAATTAAATTAAATATAAAATTTTTTTAATTTTTACAATGAAATATTAAAATAAAGTTATTCTAAAGTTTTAATTAAGAAAATTATTAGTAATTGCACTAAAAAATTTCAAAGATAGCTTTTACAAAGTAAGTTTAGTAATAGGTGAATTTTTATTATTAAACTTAGTAAAATAACTCTGCAATTTCAGTTTTACTAAGAAAACTTAATAATAAACACCATCGCGGCTTTGGTTTTACTAAAGAAAACTTAGTAATAACTGCTATTGTAGCTTCAATTTTACTAAGAAAATTTAGTAATAACCATCATTGTGGCTTTGGTTTTACTAAAAAACCTTAGTAATAAACGCCATCTCAGCTTCTTAACAAATTTATTAGTAAAAAAATGTTTCTGAAGTTGCAAACACGTTTTTTACTAAGTTTCTTAATTAAAAATGTCTCCAAAGCCACAGAGGCGTTTTTTATTATGTTTTCTTAGTAAAATAGCATTTTCGAAGCTGTAGCAGTATTTTTTACTATGTTTTCTTAGTAAAACAATGTCTCTAAAGTCGCAAAGGTGTTTTTACTATATTTTCTTAGTAAAAAGGCATTTCTGAAACTGTGGAGGTACTTTTTGCTATGTTTTTCTTAGTAAAAAAGTATTTCTGAAGCTGCGGAGTCATTTTTTACTATAGTTTTCTTAGTAAGAGCTACTCTTGAAGCTTTGAATTCAAATAAAATCAAATATTTGAATACTTGATTTGAATTTGATCGAATCGAATCAAACATTAATTTGGATTTGATCAAATAAATC